AGTAAAAAACTGAAATCACAACACTGAAAGTACTAATATGACATAAAGGCATGTAACAGAGTGGTTGCGAGAAAATTAGTTTCACTTCTTCTATTTTTTCTGACTTCTGCGGCGTAAATCCTCGCGCGGCATATATACCGGGTTTACCTTATATTTAAATAAAGTATATTTAAACAAGAGTTTTAGGAATAGAATATTGCTGAATTAATCGCTACTTGTGCAATGGTTTTTAATGATGATATATATTTACACCAAAATTGTATCTTGCTGCAGTTCATGCATTACAATTAACTGCATACTTTCGGAATTACCACATTTCTCCGCAATATGCAAAACGTTATGAATAATATAATCAATTCAGTTACTATAATTGCTTTCTTCGAGCAATAATATAAAGAAATTCCATTTCTTTTTATACATATCAAATATATTTCAAATTTTATCATACAACAAAGATATGAAAATACTTGTAAAGAATTTAACCAGAATGAAATATCATATAATACTCTCTTTGTAACTATAACATCACATTGTTAAATCTTGTTAGATTTGGAATTTATTGCTAACAATAAGAAGATTTTCCGCTTATTTCTTTTCTACTCATGATGATATCCAATTACACAATTTAGTGCAGACATATCGGAAGATGTCTACTACATCTTTAGAAACTAAAAAGATCCCCTACGTCTCTTTTCTTCATTACTGATGTTGTTCCGAGCAAATGGATATTATGTAATGGATCAAAGTCATCCTCTCTTGTCGTGATTCTCTTTCACGATCCTACCTAAGATCAGATAACACCTCATTTTTGTCAAATATCGTGAATTCTTTAAAAAAAAACATAGTATAACTAAACATAAAGGAATAAAATTAACCTTCAAAATCAAAGCAGTATAAATTTTTGTCATATAAATTTGACATAATTTTAAAATCACCTTTTAAATTATATTTTTTATTCGTTTTACGTAACGTACGTTGTTGCCTAATTCTTATCATGGGTAGAATAAAATGCTACTTCTCCTAAATAAGACGCAGATTACGTATGTCAAAAAACAATTTCAATAATAAAAAGAATAACTGTAAAACAAAAAATATTTAAAACATGGAAACAATCTTGTGTCTAACATTTTCGCTTTAATGCATCCTCCAACATACTCGCACTATATCTTTACAAAGGCATATATAGCTGATACTTTTATCTCGATGTAATAAATTCGTCGAAGAAGATATAATTTCTTGGAAATTGATATAGTAAAGCGTTGGAATTAGAATAAGAACCTGTTTTCGCAATAAGTATTTCAAATAAATTTTGAAAAAATTGCATTATAATTTTCTGCTTTATTATTTGTCTGTTAAGGATATAGAGTAACGCGCCTCTCGACATAAAAGGGAGTTTCGCAAATTTATCGGAGAATGTATATTTCAATTATTCGCAAATTCACGTTAAACCAAAGTCCAATATTGCTTCCAATGAAACATGAAGGCGATGCTTTTCCCCACGATTTCACGTCAATACACGTCCCATTGTTAGAGAATTAACGAAAATTGTGACTCGACCACCTACGAAAAAACTCGGACAGAATATCTAACAACATAAAGGATAATGATGCCGAATTTCTAGCTGTCAGCCTTGATCAAGTCTCACAGCCAACATGTCGACGAGATCGTTCATCACAGCTGCGACATCAACATCATCTACAATTAAATTTTTAGACCACCGAGCACGCTAAATATTCCCGATTCCCTCGCCATGGAATAAATAAGCCAAAAGGAAAGACTGAATTCTCGTGCGAGAAATACGCTTCGT